TATATATGTACTCTTTGGCTAACCAACACAGGTTGGTATATATATATATATATATATATATGTACTCTTTGGCTAACCAACATAGGTTGGTATTCACTGCTTATTTGGTATTTCAACCTGAAAAGTACCTTAGGCCACAAACGGTCTACATTAAATGACCAGGTCAGAGATCCCGTAGGTTCAGGTATAGTGATCCCTAATTTAGAACCGCTGACCAGAAAGTGGACCACTAGTTGAAGACATCTTCCACTTAGATGTATAATCTTAGCTAAATAATGGGATTAATAATATACATCACAGCTGAACCAATCCACAGCTCCGGACATTTAAGCCCCCAGGCCATACCCAGCCCTTGATAGTTCATTAATTTACAAGAAAAAAAAACACAAGTTTCTTTTTAACAGATGATACAAGTATAAACAACAAGAACGAGTTTATTTTCTTACAATTAATTAATTACGATGCTAAACTGTGTTTCTTACCCCACCCCTTGAGCAATCTTCAATTTAACTGATCTACAGCTAGAATAGAAAATAATTTTTATTTCCAAAAAAAGAAGTCATCTACAATAATTAATAATTGTTGTGGAAAAAAATATCTTCATCACATTTAACACAAACTAGTTGAATAAATTCTTTAATTATATTTCTTCAATTAAAGTACAGTTATTGAAGCTTCATTTTTAAAGAAGAATTATGTAAATGTAACAAGGCAATCACAGACACGAGTTCAATATTGCAATTGATAATATAAACACGACCAATCAGTTGAAGTAATGAAGTTACCAATATTAGTCAAATTACAATATTTATTTTGTTACTAATTCACCTCCGTTGAGCATCCTAGAAGATTTTACGAAATGTCTCATTATGATTTGTTGAACAAACACTACCATGGTTACAGGCTGGTATTAATGCTGAAATTGGATTGGTACTTACAGTTTAACCAATTCAGCTAAAAATTGGAGACCTATGCGGTTATTTTCAACAAAATAACAACATACACATATATTAGCCTGTTTACATAAAATGCTCATGTAGTGAAAACATTCCAAACCTTTTTTTAACTAATTATTTCTACACCAAGAAACAATTCACAGATATCAAGTGACTGTTTTATATATATATATAAAAAATAATCACACAAAATAAGAAAAAGAACTAAAGATAATGAATCGGCAAGAAAAATGTTTAAATTATACAATAAATTTGATAAGAAAACAAAGTCTGATTTGATTAAGTTCTTCAGAACAATAAATGAAATACAAGAGATTAAGTTTTGAAGAAAGTAGAAATATAAATTAACATAAACGGGACAATTTCTATAGAAAACCTCTCAAATCATTTGAAAACTAAATTTTCACACCTTCCTTGTGTGTGTGTGTAGTTTCTGGACTGTCTGATGTGACACACCTTCCTCGTGTGTGACACACCTTCCTCGTGTGTATAGTTTCTGGACTGTCTGATGTGACACACCTTCCTCGTGTGTATAGTTTCTGGACTCTCTGAAGTGACACACCTTCCTCGTGTGTATAGTTTCTGGACTCTCTGAAGTGACACACCTTCCTCGTGTGTATAGTTTCTGGACTCTCTGAAGTGACACACCTTCCTCGTGTGTATAGTTCTGGACTGTCTGATGTGACACACCTTCGTGTGTATAGTTCTGGACTGTCTGAAGTGACACACTTTCCTCGTGTGTATAGTTCTGGACTATTTGAAGCGACACACATTCCTCGTGTGTATAGTTTCTGGACTATTTGAAGTAAAATTTACTTATGTTTTCTTTATCTTTTTAAAGTAAATGGTAACTAGAAATTGGTAGACAAACAGTTTTGTTAGCTGTACTTTGAGACTGTTTTTCCTGTCATTCTAACGTGTATACTACAACCCTGAAATCTGAAAGTTACTTTTATCAAAGACTGCTCCTGAGAAACTTATGATTGTGAACCCGACTATTTTCAAATCTCAACATTTAACCACATATTGGTACAAGTAAATGGCTAGTAGAAACAAAATTGGACCTCTAACTAGTAAGAATAATTTAGTAAGTACATTGTTCCGTTACCCAGGGTTGGGTGTACTGAACTGGGCTGACTACCTGCGTACACGAAATACAAGTAAGGTTTCTATCCCTAGATGAGCCACTTACGATGAACAGATTTTAGGTAATGATGTGCTACAAATGCATGAAGAGCTCCAGATACACTCCATTGTACTTCGGAGTGAGGTAGTCCCGATATCATCTTAAATAATTAAAGATACAAGTTATAATTTAATGAATGCTTAAACTCAAAACCCAGTTGGCTTCTAATGATATGAATAGGTTAGAAGTGTAAGAAACCAATTTAAATAAAGGAACTCATAGAACTTTTTAAGCATACAAACAATCAAAAGGATACCAAGAAGTCTGTGCATACTTTGGTACGATATCAACACATGCAAGTTAAACCTGTTAGTTGTTCACCCCCCACCACTGTTCTAACTGTTTCAATAAATTGTATTCTTTTTAATGTAGTGTCGTAAGTTATAAAATTAAGATGGAAAAATCCTGCCAACACACGCACGATCCACTTTGACAAAACTTAATTTAAATGGTATCAAAGATCACATAAAAATATTGGCATGCTTTGCTGAGCCCGCATCACATTATAAAATTAAGATGGAGAAATACCGTCAATAACTATGATCCACTTTCAGAATCACTAATTTAAATGGTATCAAAGATTGCTTAAAAACAAAGAAAGGTCGACATACAAAGAAAATCTTAAGTATCAAAACTACTTTGTACTTCTTTATAATCTTTCATTTCCAGGAATGTTCAAAACATCAAAAACTGTAGAAAATTTCACTAATTACTTTGGCCCACATACAATAAAAAAAATCTAAATTACCAAGAAGTTATATCTAAGAGTGAGGCAGCAGTTGCATAGACCAAGTTTCTGGTTTGAAGGAAATAAAATGATCTAAACACAACACTGATAGTAGTACCTTTAACTACTGGTTAAACTTCTGAAGTACAAAAATGAATTGAAATTTGTCACGGTAGCATTCACAACATCTGTTACCCACACACTACTACAAAAATAAATTAACCCTTTGGCACAACTAGGACTTTCGTCAAGAATGGATGTCATTCTGAAACTTACAAGACATTAAACAAGGTTAATCCTGAAGCACAAGAAATACTCTGATGGAAATAACAAAACACCATATATTTTAAAACGTACGTCTGTTTTGTTTAAGTAAACATACCTTGGGCAATTAGCGAGGTTTTGTGCGTACTATGTTATAAACATCAGCACACATAAAAATTAGGTTAAAACAACTTCTCGGACAATTTTTAAATACACACACACAGCACGTGGTGAAATGGTTGTTGACTGTGTATGATATATCAGGACAGTGTAATGATACACACAGCATGTGGTGAAATGGTTGTTGACTGTGTATGATATATCAGAACAATGTAATGATACACACACAGCAGGTGGTGAAATGGTTGTTGACTGTGTATGATATATCAGGACTGT